GAGTTTAGGGTTTTGGCTTTGGGCTTTAGGGATCAGGGTTTGGGGCTTTAGGGTTAATGGGTTTTTTGGGCGCAGGGTTTAAACCCTAAACCCTAAACCCTAAACCCTAAACCCTAAACCCTAAACCCTGGGGTTTTGGATTGAGGGGCGGGGTGTTGAGGGTTTAGCGTGGAGGGTTTGGGCTCGAGGGTACAGTAGAGGGGTATAGGGTTGAAGGCCCATATTGAACCAGGCTGATGAACTGGGTACAGCTATTTAGGGCTCCTTTGACGCCGGGTAATCATCCTCCTGCGTTGTTGAATGCCTTTTTTTCTAAGCAGACTAGGCCTAGAATGGCCTTGGACAAGCACTGTTGTTTTGCGGCAGGCCTTTTTCGTTCGCAACTTCTGCTGCAACGTCGTTATCTGAGGCGATGGCACCGAAACGCTGCGGAGACGCATGCGCCGGTGGTATGAGAAGGAGTTCTCGCTGAGCAGCTCCAGCTAAGGCATTGGGATTCGCAGCCTGTACCCAGCTAGAGCGCCATTAGGGCACTTGAAGTGTTCTGGTGCCGGAAGCTCTAGGTACTCGCACTCATTGGCTCAGAGATGAAAAGGAAGATCCTGGAAATGGAAGATCTCGTAAAGATTTTAGCGCAGATGGCAGGATTGATATGGGGGATAAGCTCACAGAAGCGTGACTTAGGAAGGAAGCTTAGGGCTTCGGACGCAAAGATTTTAGAAGCCTCAGGAATTAGAGATCCGTCGGCAGACTTCTGCACCTGCTCACGCAAACACCTCTGAAAGTATGACATCCGAAAGCCTAAGCCGTAAACCCCGAACCTTTCACCGTAAGCCCGAACCCTAAAGATCAACAATGTTCGTCCTCTTGCATGTCAGTTCGGCCACCACCCGAGAGTTGAAATTAATGAATCTCCAAGATCAACTCTACCTAGTCTGATTTTTGCAGTAGTTTTGGTTAACCCGTCTTACGTTACAGGATCCTAACCACGAAACAGGTTAGCCAAACAAAGGAACTACAATTAGGATCCCTGCGTATCAAGTCCGCACCCGAGTGGGTAGTGTTCTTTACCTACTCTGGCGGAGTCTCTCAGAAAAGAGTATCTCTTTCATCCTTGTAGCTGAGTAGGTAACCTTTAACCTGTTGGGGCTTCTATAATCCTACTATAATTGCAAATGTTAACCTTTTGGGGGCTAGCGTGCTCAGCCCCTAAGTCATTCATGAACAGCATCCAGGGATCCCCAAACGGAGCCCTAAAAGCCATCCAGACTCTTTGAGAAGGAGCTGAAGAAGCTTGGAAATGCGGCTGGTGAAGGGCTCGAGGTGCTTTGTCTGGGAGATTTTTTGGGCGCAGGTTTCGCGTTTAGGTTTCAGGGTTCAGGGTTTAGGTAGTTTAGGTGTCGGAATGAATACTAACAGCTAGTACCCTCTTATAGTCGTTATGTACGTGGTACTTATAGCATGCGAGACCCCACAAAGCTACTCCAAATGGTAGCCAGGGCCCCCGTAGTAGTAGGGTGATACTGTTGATGATGTAACTCCTGCATTACCTTCAGGACCCTAAACTAGGGGAATTATGGTAGATTCCTTATTATGGGCAATGCCAGGAGTAGAGGTTTTACTTGGCCGACCGTGATCCTTGTGGCTTCTTGTGGTTGGGTTTCCTCATCTTTGGAGAGAGCCCCTGAAAAGTACATGTTTCTTCTTTCCCCTCCCTCTTGACAAGGGCCCTTGACCCTAAACCCTACATAAACCGTTCTAGGGTTGGTTCATGTTCCCTTTCCCAACAAGGATCGAGTTAGAGTTGGTTCATGTTTCGGGAGTCTTCCAGGCTGACACTCTTGTCTTTTGGGTCGTTGGCGGGGCTTGCCGAGATTCCTTTCTTGGAGCGCAGCTGCTTCAGCAATACAGGAGCCTCGAAACTTACTTACGTTGTAGTGTTTGCACTGACACACTTCATCACTGACTCTCTTTCTCATGGGCTCAACGGTTCATTTGCTACTTCACGCGCTCACTTACAGACTCATGTGACTACTTAACTTCCGACCTACGTACCTAGCAGCGAGAGGCGTAGTACCATCGCGCAGGAACACCATCAGGGTCGACATGGGACTCTGTGCTCGATCTGTTCATTAGATCTTACCTGCATACAGTCTTAGACACAGCCCTGAAACCCTAAACCCTAAACCCTAAACCCTCTAAGCCCTAGGAGCCTTAGACGGTTTCAACAGACGTGGCGGCCGTCGCTCAGAAGAGTTCCCACTGAGGAAGAGAGCTTGAAGGACAAGCACTGGGTCATTGCAAGGATCTCGGATAATGCCTTTTAGGGTTTAGGGTTTAGGGTTTAGGGTTAGGGTGGGATAAAGGTGTTACCAGGGCTATGCAAGGGCCGTTCACAGAGCCACAATAAAATCCTAAGGCCTCAACATTAGGATGCCTGGTGCCAACCCTCCTTAAAGAATGAAGGAGGTTAATGTGTCGCAGGTCTACATCTGCCAGCATAGATGAAGGTTCCTATTACAATGCTGTATCAGGATTCTTGTTTCAGTTAAAGCATCTTAGGAGGTGTGGATGAGAAACCTTGGGAAGACTTCTAGGCACTTGGCATCAGGAGTTGCAAGATAGGCTTCGGGCATAGAGCTTCTTTCTGGAAGTGCTGCAAGTCCGAGACACTAGACCCCAAATCCTGAACCCTATCCTAAACACGGAGCAATAAAGCAAGAATGCCCTGAACAGCAACGAACCCCGGCCAGAACCATCCAAGCCCGAAGCCCAGAACCTTATCTAATTATAATTCCCAAATCCCATAGCCCAGTGAAGGATCAGGGTTTAGGCTTTAGGGTTTAGGCTTCGCTGTAGAGATACGGAAGACCACTTCAGGTTTGACGAGGGCCCAGCGCAGAAACCCGACCAACATGTCCGTAGGTGTAGAGTGAAAGGTCTGCTTGGGCCCACCAGAGCCTCCCCCTGCTCTCTCTAAATTAGGGTCCCTTTAGGGCCCTTGTTATGGGGACCGAAGAGGGGACCCTAATTTAGAGAACTACCCATATGTCTCTTAGACATAGAGACTTCGCATGGTGGGTCTGGAGCGCTTGGCAAAACCCAAAAACCGCAGGCTCCTCCACCACAGTCCTCCGTCCGGAACATTCTGGTAGATTGAGGGCGCGCGTGGGGGCGTTTCTGGGGCGTTTCTGCGCGGCAGCAGGCAGTCAGACAATCAGAGGCTTATAGTAGTAGAAAGTTATTCTGAGCACCGGGGCTTTGAAAATGGCTCTACTGGGGTTGAGTCTGGCATAGTGTAGTACAATACACTTGCATATGGACCATCAGGGGGATGCTTGTATTTTTCCAACAGCTCAAACCTCTAGATTAACCCTGAACCCCAAACCCTAGACCAGAACGCTTCAGCCGTAAGTTGGGGTTTAGGTAGACGGGACCTGGCAAACTAGGATCCTGCATATAAGGACAGTCGACACAGGACGTCCCCATTTCGGAAAAAAACTTAAACCCTAAACCCCAAACTCTGAAACCTCAATCCCTAAACCCCAAACCCTAAACTCTAGACCCCACACCATAAACTTTAAAACTCTAAGTCTAAGCCCTGAACCCTAAACCCCAAACCCCAAACCCTAAACCCTAAAACCCTAAACACTCTAAAGCCGTAAACCCTAAAACCCTAAACCCTCTAAAGCCCTAAAACCCTAAACCCTTAAACCCTAAACCCTAAAACCCCAAACCCCAAACCCCAAACCCCAAACCCTAAACCCTCTAAAGCCCCGAAACCCTAAACCCTAAACCCTCTAAAGCCCTAAA